CACTAGACGACGCCGAGAGGGACTAGACCTCGGACAACAATGGAGCTCCCGAGGGATAAGGTGCTATTAATAATTCCGAAGCGACGTCGTTACGCTTTAAGCGCGCCACTGCTGCCCGAAGGGGAATCTCGAAGGGGAGGAAACGGAAGTGGGGTAAGCTAAGCTATTCGTTCTACTCTCTAGAGGCCGACATCTCAATTAGCCTGCTTGCCAGCAAACTACGATTCCTCTCGCGATGCACCCTCGCCGCTATTTTCCGCGTCGCTCGGCACATACTCCATCCTCGTTCGAAAATTCCACGGCCACGTTTAACGTCTCCCACGGCGACGTAGGCTGCGCCCTTCTGTCATTTTTGCCTCCTAACGGACGCGTCTCGATACCGCCCTGTAGGCGCGTCCTTTTGTTCGACCGGAATGCTCGTAAACGTTTCAATTATCCCCTTTGTCTACGATATCGCGCGAGACCGATGGCAAGGAATTCGGTCCAAACGTAAGAACGTCGGTTGAAAGGCGTGGTCTGTAGGCCAGGTTAAACGTAAACAACACCGGCCAGGCTCGTGGCTCATTTCCGCCGAGGTCCTTCCGTCTCAGTTGCGCGTTATTCTTCGCAGTGTTCGGACAAAGTGGCTCGTCGAGCGAACGCCGTTGCTGTTTACATGCCACGCGCCATCGGGACTCGAATGGTAAGCCGAGTAGTTAATTTATCCCTGTTCGGATTCGCGGACCCGTAACGGTCGTCGTTGTTTACCATCTGCCACGTGCGGTTTGCTCGCGATTCTAGAAGCTTCGCGTTTATCCCGAGCGCGAAACTAGCGTACGAAACGCGATTTACTCGAAGGCATCGTGGATGAAATTTAAATTCACCCGGTACCCCGAAGTGTCCTTTTTTCCTCCGGTTTTCGGAACCGGCGAAACGGTCTGTTTCGTTGAACCGATCCGTAGGAGAAATAAGAGGGAACGCCAGCGACTCGTACTCGACTCCAACTGCCGGCAGGGGGGAAAATCTTTGTCGCAGAAATTCAAAGGTATAAAGTGTCGACGAAGCGTCCTGGGAACGGCATCGCGCCGACCCTTGTAAAGACGTTGAATTTTATGAAACGTCGAGGGGATTCGGTGAAAATATGTAAATACGCAATAAAGCGTAAGCCTCCCGGTGCCGTCCCTGTCGTCTCACCACCGCATCTGCCTCAGCCAACCGCCTCTTTCCTTCTTCTTCTTCTTCTCATTCTGCTCCTCCAGCTCGTTCTTAAACGGTGGTCCTCTCCATTGCCCGGGACAACGGAAAATTTCAACGGAGACCGTCTCGTACGTCTGACTCCACTGAATCTGGCTGCCACGGTTTACGAACCGGCTGCCTCTCTGCTATTCTCCTCTTCGCTCCGCCATTACACCGAGGCAAATCGATCCAGCCTATCGGACTATGTTCCCTTTGCCGGGCAGCGAATTATTAGTTCGATTTTCGTATCCCCTTTCATCTGCTCGCGATCAAAAGCCGCTCGCTCGCCCGCGAGAAATTTAAAAACCGATTAACGCCACTCTGATTCCCTACGTCCGCGTCCGCCGCCTGTCCCGGGGCTCTCGAGACTCGGCGCCGCACGGAACGGACGCGAAAGAGACGCGAGAGAGACGCGAGAGAGACGGAGGGTGACGATAAGCGCGGACAATGTCGCTTAAAGAGAGCAAAACGGCCGGCCACATCGGAGGGTTCCTCCATCCTTGTAAACGGCCAGAGAGGGGTGTCGAGTACACTCGACACTCCGTAAATAACGGACTCGTCGTTCGTTCCTACGTATCCACCTATGTACGTCCTGTCCCTGCTATCACCGTCGCGGATCCGTCCGGGTGTAGGAATTGCCGGCATAATAGCGGCTAACAACCGGTCCTCCGACTCGAGTTAATTTGCCAGAGCAAGACGGCGTATACCGGCTTTGACGATCGTAACGTTTGCCTTGTTAAAACGAACCCCATTATCCCTCCGGTGTCGCGACGCTCTGTCCCCCGCGTCGAGCTACTGCTGCTGCTGCTGCTGCTGCTGCTGCTGCCCGTGGAAACATCGCAGGATGAATGGTCCTTGGGTGAGCGTGGGTCGCGCTCGAATCATCGATCTTGCACCTCCGCCATGCATCGCGCGGTTAATGCGCTTGACAAATGCTTCTTAGCAACTTCCGCTCCCCGTCCCGCCCTTTCCATTCGTTCCACGGTTGAACCGGGTCGAACGCGGATCGAGCAGTCGACGAAACTCTCGGGCCCGGATATTCGCCGGATATTTTCGCCGCGCGTGTGTCGCGTTAATGCGTCTCTCGCGAAGGTCGTGGCAATTTCGTGCAAACGCGGAACGCGTTGTCGGAAACTGCGCGTCGGGTGTGCTCGATTAAAATCGAATGGACCGGAGTAGTAGGCCGATGGGGCAGGTTTTCAGGCAGAGTCGCAGTTTTCTCTCCGTTGTTCCCGGGGTACGCTGTTATGTTCGTCGAAAACGTGCTCGGTGAGTACAGCTCGGTAAAGCCCGGCGATAGTCTTCGGGGATGAAAATATCGTAAAAGCGTATCCCCGGAGTGTAGGTAGGTAGAGCGGGAGAGGGCGGGTGAGGGCGGGTGAGGGAGGGAGAGGGATAGAGGGTTTCGAAACGCATGCCAAAGTTGTCGTTACGGCCTCGATCGGACCGCATAAAAGCGAAGCGCAGGTTGCACGGGTTGGATGGAATTTGCATGGATATCGGGCGGCTGTTCGAATTCGAATCGACGCGCGATAGTTGCGCAGCGGTTTGCGAGCGATTAGAACGTAATCGTTGCGTCGGCTTTCGACCGTGCGATCGATCCGCGTCATCCGTGGAAGATTTATGAAAATACTTGGTCCCGTTGTCGCATCGGGGTGATCAACGGTGACGCGTGGCCTGTAACTTTCGGACGAGTTGGAGCCGAAAAGTTGAACGGGAAACTCGTCGCGTCCACGCGAAAGTTTCGCTTTTTACCCGTATCACTTGGCAAACTTTTGCTCAATCTTCCGTACGACACGTGTGCCGCTGGACTCTAATGGAAAAGAGGGACCCCTCCACCCCACTAGCCGTTCGTGGCGTCGCGTTTTCCACGCGGTTGAACTCGAAATTTCCCGCGAAAGCTACGCGACGCGGCGCATCGTAGCGTGATCGATCATCGATGGCGGAAATCGGCCGCGAACCGATACCCGTGTCCCGTTTACGATCGACTCGTGGCTCGGGATCGAAGGCGAAGAGGACGGATTAGCGAGGAAAATTCCGTGGATGCAAATTCTTGGCCCGGGCGTTCGTAACACGGTGGCAAACGTTGATTCCGGTCGATAACGAATTCATTAAATGCGTTTCGAATGCGACACGAGCCGCGTCCGCCATTAGCACGCCGCTGGACGTTTCGACCAGCGCCTCGGGTCTTTGAGGGTTAATTGCGGGCGTGTTGCGGAATTCCATTAATCGAAACGGCTTTCAAGGCTTCTCTGGTATTTAAACTACACGCGGGTGCACGAGCTATTCGCGGCTGATCGATGGCCGCGGCGCGGTCGCTTTCGCGTCCAGCGACGTAGAAACGCCGCGTAAATAAGTAAAATCGACAGAGTTTAACTGCCGCCACTGCTCCGACCGGCCTGACTTTCGTAGCCACGGAAACGATTTTCCCGCGGCCATGAATTCTCCTCCATCGTCGAAGATTTCGCGACGCGGCGCCGTCGTTAATTACGCGCTCGTTAGGCCAGCTCGCCAGCGTTGTTTCCCACTTAATTCCACGAGGACGGCCGCACGCGTCCGATGTTACGTCCACGCCGGCAGCGACGCAAGTCTAATCCAATTATGCGGTTTCCACGGGAAGAAGCGTGACGCTTATGAAAAATTCCAGGCGGTAGGATCGCGCGTGTACCCCGGGCTAGGAACGAACGTTAAATCGCGAGCAAACCCGCGAAATACGCGCATGAAATTATAACGAATCCGGGAAGGATCTCGCCTAGGGTTCTTGCTTTTCGCTCGGAAGGTATAGCAAACGAGGGTGGACGGGAGACGGCGTGGTCGGTGCGGCGCGTTACCAGCCAAGGAGAGGTAACCGCTGCTTGTTGCACGTACCTCGAGCTCGTTACAACCGGGGAAAAACTGAGAATTCAAATGAGCATCGTGGCTCCGAGGCGTTTATATGGTAAACAGTCAGCCCTAAGCGATATTTATACCCGACAGGGACGGTATAACCGGAAAATAAGTAGGAACCGCGAGGGCGCTCTAATCCTTCCGGATCGGATTTTCGTGCGTTCGCGACGCAACTCTCGCGAAAGTCTGCGAAAGATTTACACCGGCGATAAACGGAAATTTTCGCGCGTTCCCGTCCATATCCGTGGCGCGTCACGCTCGATAAACGAAAGGGCGAAACGGTCGCGACAAATCAGATTCGATCAAGCGGTACCCGGAGACTCTTTCGTTCGTATTAGCCTGACGCGGGGGGCTAGAAAGTCGGCGAGATTCTCAGCCGGACGCTCGCCGGACGCTTGGTACATGCAGCTTCGATTCTTGTTTCGAGCGTCCAGCGCGGAGAAAACGAAAGCGGCGGACCGAATCGAATGGAAACTCGTTTCTTCGAAATAGCCTACCGGAAATTCCCGAAGGAATTGCCCGTTCCGTACGATCAGACCTCCGAGCTTTCCACTTACCTGCTCGAAAGATCCTCTTCCGCGAACACGATGCCGTGCGGCTGGTTTACGGTAGAGTCCGTCGAAACCGAATTTCATAAGCGAATCTCTTAATCCTATGCCGAGCGTGCTTTACATATCGCTACCCAACATTTTCCCGGCTCGATTCTACCCGCATCCGAATGTTCGGATTTTCGTTATCGAGCTACGCTGACCGTATATCCGTCCATTCTCTCCGTCCCTCGCATTTTCTCTCGCAGACATAATTCGATCGCGAAATCGAAATCGAAATCCAAGTCCAGTGCATCCTCCCCTATCCGAGGAAAATTTAATCGGTACGATCGACGCGTATTTTTGTTCCAGTACCATTGGTGAATATCAGCGTCGTGGAAGGAAAGCCAGCGGAACTGCCATGCGACATCACCCCACCCGGAGAGGACACCCTGCACATGGTCTTCTGGTTCAAGGACGAGGCCGGAGTACCACTGTACACGTGAGTGATTCCTTTCTTTCTTTTCTACCGATTTACGATTCACGCGATCGTTGCAACGACGTTACGCACGAACGTGGAACGTGAACGAACGATCTCTCGAAGAACGCCACGGAGCGGAAATCCGTGCGATTTCCTCGAGGACCTACGTTGGGGTGGGTTGTCCGTGGTGACGAAAAATTCGCGGCGTTTCAGGAATTCGCAACTGGCGCGACTAATATGCGGTAAACGACGTCGGTAGGTCGCGTTCTCTTTCCCATTACATCGTCGGCACACCATGACAGTCGGAGATACAAGCCGGTTCGCGTTATTAAACGTACGTCACTGTTCGCTGCTCGCTCGCCTCTTGCCACTCGAACTCCGAATTCCTTTCTGCATTCCGTTTTGCAGACGCGGTCACGATGTTCTCCCATTCCGAGTTGGCCGCAATAACGCCACCGCGAGGCCTTCATAAAGGGCTTCTCTTTACAGAGCTGCTCTGCTCTTTTCCTTCCCCGAACGAAATTTTACGCGCCCGTTTACGTCGTTACCGCCGCAGCGTCGTTGTCCTCGTCGTCCTTGTCGTCCTCGTCGTCGTCGAATCGCTAAACGACCGGACGCTTCTTAATTGAAACGGTTATTAATTAAAAGCTCGTGGCGCCGCGACGTGGCGAGCAGGCCCTTTCGAACTCGCGGATCGATGAAACACGAAACGTTTTAATTGACAATTATTTCGCTCGATCGCGTATCTATAATTTTCCTTAATGAACCTGAAAATTGGAAGGAAATCGGCCCGGGGGGGAAGAGGTGAATTTAAATGCAGCTACATCGTTCGGAATAATTTTTCTCGTCGAGATGAGAAAGAAAGGAGGAGGAAACGAAGAATACGCGCGACACAATAGGTCGAAATGACATCTGAAAGGTATTTCTCTCGAAATATAATCGGATGAAACACGAGTCCCTCTTAATTGACAATTATCTCGACCGATTACTCGTTATGATTTTTCTTAACGAACCGTAAAGCGAACCGGGCTTGATTTAAATAGCTCTTGATACCGTCCGCGCGATAATTTCTCCCGAGATAGCGCGAGGTCTTTGCAAAATCTCTCGTTGCGGACGTCACCGTTGCGGATGCTGGCAGTTGCATATAATATTTATATGTAGCCGGGTAAATGGAACAGAGTTCACCGCGAATTCGAGCTACGCTATTTTTTCTGCTGCATCCACTCGAAACGTCGGAATAATCCCCTTCAATTACGAGCGATTTATTTCGGCGAATGAATCCGTCTCGTGACCGTTTTCGGCTAGTAAAACGTTCGGATACCTTGCACGGGATTCGCGCGCGAGTCCACAGACGAACGTTCAACGACCGTTTAAAAATAAATATCGAAAATGCTTATCTCGGTTCGCCAATCGCGGCACAGACGCTTGATACGACGAGCCAGGAGTAGGTACACAAGGGTAGGTGGTCTTTGGCCTTTCCGCACGCCGCCGCTCGTCCACTCTTTGTAACGTCGAGCTGTTTGACCAACGAACGGCGAATATACGCGGATGAAAATAGAGCAGCCGCAAACCGGATGGACAGCCGGGATATTACCGGGATTTTTCGATATTTCCCGTAATTTGCGATAGTTGGGGAAGTTTCGCAATTAAACTTGCACGCTTCGCGCGGAATTCGGCGCCGTCGCTGCTGACGCCACGCGATGCTGCATCATTTTTCAAGCAGCTGGCAGGCTCGAAGCTATCCGCGAGATGCCCTGTACCCGGGGAAATAAGCGGTTGCTGCCGATTAATACGTCGCTGATCTTCCTTTTTTCTCCACCCTCTCTCTCTCTTTCTCTCTCTCTTTTCCTGGCCATTTTTCAAAGTTTCGTAGTTTCAAAAGAACACAGCGGTAATTGAAACAGCCGGATTTCACCGCGCGGTTGTTTCAATTTTTTCCAGCTCCGCCTCTCGATATCCCATCGCGCGGTTACGGTCGGGCGAATTTTGAATTTTTCGCGTGAAACTTGAATGGCGGTTAGTCCGGGGTCGCGGCTTTTCGGTCAGCCGGGCTGCAAATACCCGATTGATTCTTGCTGATTCCTTGTCCACGCGAAAGAGAGAGAGAGAGAGAGAGAGAGAGGGGGGAGAGAGGGAGGTGGAAAGGACAGGCAGGACAACTCGTCCATCAGAAGCCTTCACAGCGGTCAGGCGTACCAGCCTAATGAGGATCACAGCTACGCACAATCAACTTCGTGGCACGTAATTATAGCGTGTCAATAAATTTCAATCGGCGGCTGAAGGGATACCGGCGTGGGTGGAGCGGGCGAAGCTTCTGGATGGCAGCTTTATCGGTGAATAATTGATAACCGTCGCGACGCCTCTACGCTGTACCTGCGCATCGATGTAACTGCACCGCTGCAAGATCCGCGGCGAACTTCTGCGCGACGCGTGATTAATTGATATATCCGCGATCCGCGTAGCTCGCGTTATCGGCGTTATCCTTCGATCCAGGAGCATCACGGAATCCCGTCGCCTGGTCTATAAATTAGTCGCAAAGATTCCCCGTTATCGCGACGCGTTTTACCGGCTAGACGCGACGTTAGCACGCTTCGGCGGATGTTGGAAATTCGAAGAGGCGCGCCGCGATGCCCGACCACGCGTTTACATTCAACGACCTTTTTCCTCCCGTTACCAGTTCGCAAACTATCCGCGGTAACGATTATTGCCACGGAAGCTGCGAAGCCGGGCCGCGCCACTTTCCCCCGGCACGCTTTAATCCTCCCTTTTATTCATCCCTCGGCGCCGTCTCCGAGACCGTTGCCTCCGTTCGCGCCTCCGTTCCTCGCGCGTATCACACGGCCGAGCGTGTGACTCGACAAACGAGAGGAAACGGCGCCCGCGGTGCCACGAAGGAAAGAAAGGCGAACGAGAGAAACGAGGTTTGACGTTTCCGGTCCACGGGGAGTGTACGTCCGCGTTTATCAGGCGACGCCGTAATTAATAGCTGTGGCGTGGAATTTGAATTTACAAACGAGCATGGCCTAGGGCGCACTCGCGGCCAGTCGCGCCCGTAGTTTCCCATTAATCGCGTACTTATGAAAATTTCAATCGAGTCGCAGTAATCGCATTTCCAAATGCAAATTTCCCCGACAGCCCGGCTTCCTTGCGATCCGCGGTCAAACATCAAAGGGTCCGATCTTATCTGAAAGGACGTTGCTGGTCGGGCAGTTCCTCGTGGAATATTAACGCTTCGGTTTCGCCGCGGAAACGTTCATCGATCGCGTCCTTTTTTCTTCCCAACTGAGAGACGTTTTGGGACTCAAAACTGTCACCCGCTTTCCTCGGGACCCATTCGTCGGTCCTCCGGTATCGAAGGGACACGCGATCGCTTAACTCGTTGTTTACGAAGCCATCTCGTTAAGGAAGTATTCGGAAGCTCGTGGACATATCAATGTTGCGTGCGCTCGCTAGAGCACTAATTATAACATACCATGCGAGGAAGGGTCGGTATGCGAACTATGCGCATAGCTAAACACACACGCGGCGTGCCCTCTTAGCAAACCCCTGTCCCGGTAAAGGACACACGCACCCTCCTATCGAGGCCGCTTTCTATCGCGTCGTGTTATCAAACATTTATGCGTACCCTCCTGGCTAACGAAGCGGAACCTTTGTGCGAATAAATCTAACGCGTCCCTCGAAATAACTCCGCGATTGCGCACCACTTTAGGGCTCGATTTACGTCCCGGAATCGAACGCTCTCCGTGTCATAAACTGTACACCGACGAAACCGTTGTGGCATCCCCCACGACCCACCGTCGTTACGCTGCCGATTAATTCGCGATCCAAACGTAACGGTCATTCGCTGCCGATTTTCCACCCGAATCGACGCGTTTAGAAAAAGGCTTTTTCCGTCTAGACGCGAAAAATTCCTTCCAGCTTACTCTCGACTAAGAGACTGCGCACGTAAGAACTGCGCGCGGTACAATAATCGTCGGAGGTGTAGAAAGTCTGCAAAACAAACTTCGGTGTTCAGGTCAACGATCCTTATCGGTAGACGGCCGTCAGACCGGCAATTACAGCTCGAAAGATCAAAGTCAGACTGACTGGGCCTTCTGTCCTTGGAGCTTTTCAAAGACCATCGAGTATGCGGGCAAGGGACGGAAAAAGGAAAAGGGCCACATTTTCGCGGGAAAGTCACGGTGATCGAAGGGATCGTAAATTAAGGAGCGAAGAGGTCTGGCTTATGAGCTAACTGCCAGGCCCCAGGCTAATCCCCGGAATGACATCGACGATAGCCAATGCCATCCCGAGGACAATGCCTACGTTTCCTGTTAGCCTGCAGTGACTATTGGTACGTTACGGCTTTAGTTTATCCGATCATCTGGCATAGGCGTAGTGGCGAAGCCTTAGCCGTCACAAATGGAATCTCTTTCCGCGTTCGTTATCTTTTAACGCGAGATCGATGTTGCGCCCTTTTCCGTTCCACCGAGCGCTACGTCGACGGATAGAAATATCCGTACCTCGATTAAAAATATAGACCGCCAAGAGGGACGTAAATGGATTCGAGATGTTGGTCGGTTCGCATCCCGCGGGATATTCGATTTCGCTGCGCGCGTGTATGTATTTTCCGCGCGTTTAATCGATCTCCGGACAGCTACTTCATCGAGCAACCGTGTGTTTAGACGGGCATAATTTATGGGGTAGATGTATAGTGCTAGGTCGGGTTTCGCAAGGTGACCCCTCGAGATCCTAATCCCCATCTTGACCCGAAACCACCTTCCTGACCCCGTTGCCCCGAGCGTCTCGGCGTGCTCTCGATCCCGCTGAGGGATAGGCTCCGGAGAAACCACCGATCTCTCTCGGCTTAATCCGAACAGCGCGAGAGTTCCGACACGTTCGTGTGTACCGGCGATAACATCGGCCAGCGTTTTTCCTGCGTGCTTCTCGTCGAATCTCGCAACTTCGCCCCCACGCGCTTACGCGGTAAGGATAACACGACGAATTTCGAAAGAGATCGGTTGTCCCGGGACGATCGAGAG